CTTCGAAAATGGGTGAGTGCATTCCTGCACTCGCGTAATCGTGTTGAGCCTGTACTGCTTTGCAAGGATCAGTGTTTGTTGGGAGAAATGTGGGTGTCTCGAACTGCTCCGTAGCAGGTATGAAGGGTGCCTCATCTTCAGTGTCCTCGGTTGGCTGTTCACCCGCCACGACAGCGTCGTCCTCGTCATTAGCGAAGCTGTGATGTCCTTGAAAGATGTTGTCTGGTGCCTCCCGTGCAGTGCGGTATTGTCGGTACAGTGGCAGGGTCAGTCTTTCGTAGAAGATGCAGTCACGTGAACGCGTGAGCTGGTGGGTGGCGAAGTCCAAAATCGTCCAGGCGTGGTATTCGAATTCGATTCTGAGGTGGATGCCCCAGCGGGCACGGTCTTCAAATTTTCCGGTTCGGGCAGTGTGGGGTCGGTACTGTACCATACACCTGAAAACTCGCAGCATGCGTGTGTCGGGGTGTTTTCCGGTCCATTCCTTGAAGGGCGAACTGTTGCTGGGCAGTGCCTTCGAAGAAAGCATGTTGTGCAGCCGAACTACATGTGCCATTGCGAAGGGCCAGTATTTGGTTTGCACAGCTGACTGCTTCATGAGGGCTCGCATTTTTGTCGCGAGGCTCCTGTTGGTGCGCTTGGCCAGTCCCTGCTGTTCCTGGGCGTAGGGGAGCGAGATCATCCTCTTGATGCCCTTCTGCTTGCAGAGGGTTTGAAGTCCTCCGTCTGATATTCCAGGGCTCCGTCTGTCTGAAATGTCTTCAGCTTCTCCCTGTCACTCTGAGTCTCCGCCATGTTCACCCAGACTTCGAAGCACTGAAAGGCAAGGTAGCGGTTACTTTTGTTGACGGCCCATACGAAGCGAGTGGCGACATCGATGAAGGTTAGTGTGTACTGCTCCCCTCCAACTCCCTTCGCCGTGAGCACTAGAAAGTCACTGTAGACTTTCTCCAGCGGTTTGCAGCGTTCTGCCCCAAGGATCTTCCCGGCAAAGGGCGTGTGATGCAGTGCTGCTGTCGAACAGACGGTGCAGTTGGGTAAGTCAGTCCTTGGTTTGAGGACCTTGCCAGTGCATCTGCCGCAAAGACATTTGCATTGATGCAGTTGTTGAGCACTTTTATCGATGAGTGCCCCATGCGTTGATGCCAGATGTCGCCGTCGGCGCGGTATTCCTTGGTTCGTGCGTAAAGCTCCTTCTCTCGTGCTAATATTGCCGCCGCGGTTTCCTTCCCAACTTGTTCCACAGGTTCGTCTGGTACGATGACTTGAACTGCTGCTGCTCGAAGAGTTGTGCCATTGTATGTTCCGCTCGTGTCGCCGATGGTGATGGTGTCGATCGTCACTGGAAGCTCCAGCGGTCCTTTGGGAGGAGTCGTCGTGATTCGCGGGTGCCGGTCTTCTGGCAGTGTAACTTCCTCAGAGTCAGTGTCGCCAATCGCCGCTCCCCTTGTCTCGATGCGGAGGTAGTCCCTGCCGTCCGTTGTGATGGGGATGAGGTGAGGCCCGTACTCTGTTAAAGACTCCTCTCCCTCCGCTTCTGGAGCTTCCTCAGTAACTTTTGGTATTTCCAGTGTCCCAGTGTCTTTTGCTGCAGGTTCTTCGGCAACGTTTCCCCATCCAGTTTCGGCTGCAGCGGCTTCTCCCAGTGCAGTGTTTTCCATCACCCAGCGTACGTCTACGGCGTCCCATCCTTCGGTGGTATTCCAGCCGGTGGGTTGTGGAACTGTAGGCTAGGTTGGCTGTGCAGGTTCAGTTTTTTTGTTTCGGTTGTTGCGACTTCCGTCTCTGACGTGCCCTCCTCTCATTTTTCCACCGCTTGCGGTCCCGTGTCTGCAGGGTTTGTGGTTGAGGCGACGGGTACGGCAAGAGCACGGAAGGTGCCGTCAAGACCGGGTTGCTGGTAGTCAGTCTCTTCCGGGTGGCTCCATCTTGGTGTTGACGAGTGACCTGGCGGATCAAGGATGAGAATGTGCTCGTTGTTGCCAGAGGTTCTGGGCGACTCGAAGTCGAGCACGAATACTCCTTCCACACTCGTCGATTTTCCGATGAAGATGTCGTTGTACATTAAGTGCATCTCGTCTTCTGTTGTTTCCAGGCCGACTCCGCACTTCATCAACTGGTGGAGGGACAGAAGATTGTACCGGAGCTCAGGCACAACGAGAACGTCGCTGAGGTGGATGCAGTAACCGGTGTTGTGTGACTCTAGCTGGATCTGTCCGCGGCTTCTGGCGTAGATGGTCTGACTGTTGGCAACGGTGACCTCGACTTCATTAAAGAGTTGCTCACTGTTGAGGATGAAGACGTCTGATGACACCATGTGTTGGCCACAGCAGCTATCCAGGTACCACGTGTTGACTTCTTTCTTCTTCTTAGCGAGATTGGCGAGTTTTGGAGTGATGTGGTGTTCCATGTCATGCTCGTTCTCGTAGTCATAGTAACACCCTTCTTCGTCGTATGCCTCGCGCGCAGGTGGCGACTCCTGGATCCACTGCAGCATCTCCCAGTCATACTCCATCCGTCCAACTGACAGCTCATCGTACGTCAGATCATTTTCTTCTTCATCTTCAACTGATCCTTCGGGTCGCTCCTGTGGTGGATCTGCGAACATATCTTCCCAGCTGCGGAAGAAGCGTTAGTGCCAGTTCATGCGAGGCGGTCCATGACGCACCATGCAAGTTAACACCTTGCTCTCCCCCTTGTCGTTGGTGTTCGCAGAAATGCGCGCCGGAGCTTGCGACGTGCTGACGACAGCTGGCGATGACATTGTCTGATTGCGTGTTGGAGCTCCTCCTTGCTGGTGAGTTGTGGTAACCTTTCGGTTGTTGTTGTTGCCGTTCAGCTTCCAGCATTCTTGAATTGTGTGTCCGGTCTTCTTGCAGTATTTGCAGAAGAGTCGTTTCTTGTCTGGTGGCGCTTGCGCGTAATATGCTATCTTCTCCTTTCTGTTGCCTCTCTCGTTGTAGAGGTCGATCTCCTGCTGTTCCGCGAGAAGAGATGCGCAGAGAGAGGTTTCACTGAGTGTTCCTTGCGTGCGGAGAAGAGATTTGCAGTGACGCTATTCCGGACTCAGACCAGCAAGAATATTAGTAACGAACATGTCGTCAGGGAAGTTTCCGCCGCTTTTCTTAAATTTGTCCCTCAAATTTCTGCAGCGGTTGATGTATGGTCTGGCCTTCTCTCCGGGCAGCATCTTGACGTTGTTCAGCTGGTTGAGGAGGCGACTAAGTGTCACCGAGTCTGTTGCCATGTGGCAGGTGCGCAGGTGCTCCCATGCTTGATGTGCTGGTGCCCACTCGTTTTTAAATGGGCGGATGTTCAGCTGTTCTTCGGGCGTCAGATTTCGGATCAGGACGGTGAAGGCCAACAGCGACTCGTTGTAATATTGAGTTTTCTCCTGAGGTGAGCCGTTGGCCGGGAACGGGTAAGATCCGTCGTAGTACATCCAGATTTGAGCGCCTTGAGCGAGGAGTTTGAACTCAAAAGTCCAAGTGTAGAAGTCTTTTCTATTAAAGGGCAAGATGGTCCTGAGCTTTGATGTTGAGAGAAACTCGCTTTGCATTGACGCCATTGTCTCGTAATACTGTAGTTGTGCTTGTGCTGGACCTTGAGCTCCGCAATTGTCGAAGGTGAAAGAACGCTCAGAATGAGCTCCTTGAGGATCGGGAGGTCTTCGGGCGTAGCTGGAGCCGTCGATGCTCATTGGCTGATAGGTTTCCAGGGCGCTGATGCGGGTGATTAATTGCTCGAGCAGAGCTGTGTCCACCGTTGTCGTTCCAGATGCGACATTGGATGGAGATGGTACTTGATTTTCTCTAGCCTCTCCGCAATCTGCGCCTAGCATGTCGATACTTTTGATGTAATAGTAAGTTATATGAAAAGGTTGTCCCTTTGAAGGAACTTTTGGCAGATCCTATAATCCAAACTAGCTCTCATACCATGCTAGAGTTGTTAGAATAGTAGCTAGAATGAAGGAGCCATAGCTAGGTAAACCCTAGCTAGGCAAGAGAGAAATGAGCAAAGGAGGGGGTTTCACTAGCTGCAGTTGGGATACATATAGCAAACCCTAACTGGGTTGTACCCGCTATAGAGCACCCCACTACAGGCTAGATAATAATATTCTAACAAGAGTGAGGATCTTGGATAGAGTAGGAATGCCTTAGAAGAGTTTGGTAGCGGAAGTCTTTGTAGGAATTCAGATCATAGTGAATGTAAATGACCAAGTTGATTAAAGGATAGAATACAAACAATATAAATATTCCTAATTGGCCATGTACTATAAGGGGTACGTTCCCTTATTATAACTGTTTTACATACAATTCTGCAGTGACTCTTATTATTGCTCTTCTTTTCTTGTTACCGAGTCGCTGTTAGAACCGTGCGTACGGTTACGCCTGTTTGCGTTCCTGGATGGTAAGTCAACCGTCGGTCCAGATGGTCAACAGTCGCGACAGTTGACTCTTGCGACTGTTGACCTTCCTGCCCTTGATACGGGTTGATCCGATATTACTGCTAGCGTTGCTTCAATAGTGACGGGTGCGGTATTGCTGCACCTTCGGAAATGCTAAGTGTGCTTCCCTTCATACTCCATCCAACATATGCCAAAGTACACATGCAAATATATATATACTGTATGTGTGTGTGTGTGTGTGTGTGTGTGTGTGTGTGTGTGTGTGTGTGTGTGTGTGTGTGTGTGTGTGTGCTTACAAATACAATTCCAACTTTTTGGAAGAATAGGCGTATCCTTAAGCGGAATCGCATCGGTTTCGGAAAAGGCGATCTCATTCAATCACCCAACCTCGTATTTCGAGGTCCCCTCCTAGCTTTGTCCCTCGTTATGTTTTGCTAGGGCTTCATTTTATTGACAATATTTGTAATATTTTCGAAATCGCTGGTAGAATTGTGTTTCATTCAAAACTCAGAACACAATTCAGTGCGCTGTTCTTGTAAAACGTATTCGCTGAGTAGTTAGTCGGGCAGCCCACGTAGGCACGCACGCCGACATGATCTCCAGCACAGCAAAGTTCCAAGCGGTGCTGGCAGCTGGTTTCATCTTTGCGCGCGGTGGCGCGCGGGAAAAACCGTACGGCCTAGCGAGGGAATCAAACCTCTTGTGGTCTCCCCCCGACCTTTCTGGGCTCAACCAGGCTCGTTCGGTTCGGACCCGTTCCCCACCTCCCCAATGACACTTGGGCTCAACTTGACGCAGCTCAAAAGAACGACGACGGACGGCGCGAGGGAAAACAGGAAATTAACCTTTTTAGCTTCTGATTGGTTGAGTTTGTCCGACCTGCGACGCTAGCCTGCAGCTGCACCTTTTCAAGTAGTAAAGTTGAAGTAACCAATACTCGCTCTTCTTTCTGAGATTAAAACAGGGCCTCATTGGCTGGTTGGCTGTCGCAGTCATGGCGCCGACAGGAAAGAGGGTTCTAGTTGCTGTTGACAAGTCTGAAGGTATGCTCCCGTGCCTCATCAGAGTGCGGCGTTGTCGACCGTTTCTTACCTTGGTACTTTCCAGCTTTCGGGTCCTCATACGAGCTCCCTCTTAGCCTCTTCTAGCGTCTCGGTTTGCCTCCATTTACTCTCACGTCCAATATTCTCACTTACGATACCCACTTCTCTGATATCTTCTTCCCAAGCCTTCATAGCAATGTCGTTGTGTCGCCACCTCACAATCCTCCACCCTTTCCTCTCCTCTCACCCTCACCTCGCCCCTCCTCGGCCCATCTCCTCTCCCCCTCTCCCATTCCCCTTCCCCATTCCCCTCCCCCTCGCCACGCGTCCCCCACCGCACCCCCTAGAGGGCTCGCACGCCTTCCGGTGGTCGCTCGGCAACCTCGCTGCAGAATCCGATGCGCTGCTCCTCCTGCACGTGCGACCGCCCGTCGTGAGTGCCGCGCCACGTGTCCACCTACAGCAACACCTGGTGCAAATTTGTATCACCTTCGCCTCCAACCTTCCCGCTCCTTATACTTCATACTCTACCCCCGTTTTGAATTGCCTCCATTTGCCGCTACTCCCTCTGTGTCCACTTACATTTCCTCCCATTATGCCGCCCGGTGCGGTCCGCAGGCGGAGATGTTTGACCGCGAGAGCATCTACCTGGCGAGCGAGGAGGTGTACGCGCTGCAGCGCCAGCTGCAGGCGGAATCGCAGCAGCTGCTGGACGACCTTGCACACACTGCCAGCAGGGAAGGGCCCGAGGTGAGCCCATGCGCGAGGCAGGCGAGCCTGGGCCGCGCCTTCTGCTGCTGTTTCTGCTGCTGTTGTTCTTCTGTTGAGGTTGATGTATTGTAGGGGTTTGAATCTACCGGCCACTATGGAAAGTTATGCTGCGAGGCTCGTAAGGCACCCACTTGTTGTGGTGGCGGTACACACGCTGGCTGGTGTTACCACATGAATGCTTTCCCGTTCGTGCAGATCCCCCCTTGCAGTGTCCCTCGCGCTCCTCAGCATTGATGTGCGCCTTGCGTCTGCCACGGTTCATGGGCATGGGCATGGGCATGGGCATGGGCATGGGCATGGGCATGGGCACGGGCATGGGCATGGGCATGGGCATGGGCATGGGCACGGGCATGGGCATGGGCATGGGCATGGGCATGGGAATGGGAATGGGAATGGGAATGGGAATGGGAATGGGCATGGGCATGGGCATGGGAATGGGAATGGGCATAGGAATGGGAATGGGAATGGGCATGGTCATGGGAATGGGAATGGGCATGGGCATGGGAATGGGAATGGGCATGGGGGCATGGGCATGGGAATGGGATTGGGCATGGGCATGGGCATGGGAATGGGCATGGGCATGGGCATGGGCATGGGCATGGCATGGGCATGGGAATGGGCATTGGCATGGGCATGGCATGGGCATGGGAATGGGCATGGGCATGGGCATGGGCATGGGCATGGGCATGGGCATGGCATGGGCATGGGAATGGGCATGGACGCTCACCAATAACGGCAGCCTTTTCTTGAGTGTGTCCCTTGTGGCGCTATTCCAGAACCTGCAGGTGGAGTGTTCATCGGAGGAGGGCGACCCCAGGGAGGTGATTCTGAGCGAGGCCAAGCGAGTAGCTGCCGACCTCATTGTCGTTGGCAGCAGAGGCCTGGGCGCAGTGGGCAGGTGCGTGTGTGCATGCATGCATGCGTTCTGCTTCTCCTTTTCACTGAGTTGGCCCGTGAATTTTTAAAGCAGGTGCATGTTGCATGACTGGTGGAGCCCACTCTCACTGCGCGGCCTCGTCATGGGCTCAGCAGGGCTGATTCTTGTGAATCAGCAGATGCGCAGGTGTCTCTGGGCGCCAGGTCGCACAAAATGTGTGGTGTGGTGGCGAATATGGTTTTTTAGAATCAGCAGCAAACCTGGCTCTGTCTGTCGTTCCACACTAGTGTCGCGTTGGTGCCCACCTGGTTCTCTGCTTGCTGTGCTTGATGCTGTGATTGCGCGCCTGTGTGATACTGCTGCAATTAACTCTCCTGTGCACGTGTTGCTTCCAGCCATGCATGCTGCCAATGTTACTTTCACCCTTTTCCACTGCCCATGGTTTTCTGGCTTTCGCCCCATTTTGCCTTACACACAGGCGAGCATACTGCCTCCATCCGTTCATTCATCTCACCACACAATCCTCTTCCCATCCTACGGTGCCATGCCAACAACAATCTTTCGCTCCTTTCTCCCAAACTTGTTCACCCCAGGCTTTTTCTCGGAAGTGTGAGTGACTATCTTGTACACCACGCATCGTGTCCCATCGTGGTCGTTCGATTACCTCGTTAAACTAGAGCAACGGCTGTCTATTACTGCAGCATCATGCCATGAAGGAATGTTAGTTTCTGTTATGTACTACAATTGTTACCGTACTCGAAAGCACCGTCATCGCCCATATAGTAGATGGTAGTGTTAAATCGAAGACACTGGTGTTTTCATAATGGGTGTTTTCTTACAAACGAGTCCATGTTCCTACGGTCCAGAAACGCCTCTTTGTTAGAGTTACATTATAGTATTTGCATGCATGCTAGTTAGTGTGGTATCACATTCGTACTGTAAGACCCGTACCAGTCGTAGACCCTCGGGTCTATAATACGAAGGGGGGTATGCTAAATCGGTCGTTTGGCTTGCAGGCCCTCAGATTGCAGGAATTTTACCCTGATTTGGGCTTTGAACACTGATTTTCAGGGTGTTTTTTGGACCCCGCGCTGATGAGAGTTTTTTTTTTTTCAATGCCTATCCTGATTTTCCAGCGTGTTTTTTCGTACTAGGCCTGATTTTCCAGCGTGTTTTTGCTTGGGGACCCTGAATCGATTCATACAGTAGAGGGTACAGGTGTAGTTGCGAAAATGCCTAGATTCAGTTAAACCGGAAAAAAAATTTTCCGCCATTCCGCCGTCACCGTCAATCACGGAAAATGGCATCTTTACTGTATCCACACACGTACCAGTCTTGATGTGTTGTCGCCATCATCTCTCAAGCTTGCATGTGATTGGGCAGTTTCAGGTAATCACACACCGTGCCCAATCACATGACCAGTGCTGGCAAGATTCCACTGCGTCACCGTCGAAACTCGTGACACTGTGGAATCGTGCAGGAAACAGGGGCACATACATCCCATTTCGTGGATGGCCCATAGGGGACCATCCACGCCTGCATGGTGGCTTTTGTTTGAGGGTGTCAACCAATCACCAACGAGGTGTGGTGACCCTCCCTTCCCCATCCCTTTCACCCCATTCTTGAGTGCCGTGTTAGATTAGGTGAGCTTCGTTCTCCCCGCTGTTTCTCGGCTGACTCTCCTCCACTCCACCCTCCATCTCTCGTCCATACTCCCGCCATGGCTGGACCCGTTGATGGTGCGTCTGCCGACGACGATGCTGACGACATAGAGATCGAGATAGCACGCACGGGTCTAGACCTGTTGCTGTGTTCGCTCTCTAAAGCAACCATCCCACCTTGTAGCAAGAATCCGCCCGTTACTTCAGTTACGGCTGTTCCCACCGTCACTTCCGCCCCACCTGACTCAATTGTCGCCCCAGTTATTAACACCGCAACGCCAACCGATGTCACCGACACTGTACCCACTACGATACATGTCGAGCCGTCAACACCAGCAGCACCGTCCCCGGCTTCTCCTATGGACACATCTCCATCTCTTCCACCAGGATTTGAGATGGCGTCCCCGTCCTCTCGGCCCGTTCCACCTGCATCGCAACCAGCTACTCCTGAAGCGGCGTCCCCTGCAGGTCGGCCCGTTCCACTTGCAACGCAGCCTGCTACTCACGAAGCGGCGTCCCCTGCCGGTCGGCCCGTTCCACCTGCATCTCACCCTCACGCAGCTGCATCGGCGTCGCCGGCTGCTCGGCTTGTCCAGACGAAGTTGAACTTCCTTCGCCCCTCATTTGCACCACCGTCAGCACCCACCAACATGCCCACTCCGCCCGTACTCGAAGCAGCAGCTCCGATCCAGCCCTCAGCAACTCCCGAGGAGCTGTATGCCATTGCTCTTGATAGGTTCAAATCACGCTGGCAAGGTCAATTTGCCTGGTTGCAGCTTGTCAAGACTTCAACTGGTCACCCTGCCTTCAAGTGTTCTGTGTGTACAGACCATTCAGGATTGACTGGCAAGACTGGCAAGTGCACCGAAGGGGTAGTCAACGTTCAAAAGCAGGCATTCACGCGTCACCAAGCCACCAACAAGCACAAGCTCGCGAAACAACGGCAGGATCAGCTCGTTGGCGCGACGAGGCAGCCGCAGATTGACGAGCATCCACTGGCGCACGACAGCGAGAAGGTCCGAGTGGTGAATCTGATGGATGCCCTACTCTTTGTCAGCAGGCAAGATGCACCAATGGATCTGTGGGTGGGATTGGTCCGTTACATGGCTGAGACAGGAGTCCCCGGATTCCCAAAGAAGGGATACGGGACATACTACACCACGTAAGTCCTTTTCCAATTTTTGATTGCACTGTTTTTCTTGTGATGGCACGGGCTAACCTACATCTTCTTCTTTGCCTGTCAGGTATGGATTCGGGGAGCTGACTCAGTCTATGGCAACGTGGCTGCAAACAACACAGCTCGAGGAGATCCTGGCAAGTCCCTACATCTACATCTCATGCGACGAGAGAACCGATCACTGCAGAGGCAAACACCTCATCTTGTTCGTCACGTTCATTCGCAACTCACGCCTTGCCTGCGAGTTCATGGCTCTGCTGACGGTCGACAAGGTGGATGCGTCTTCGCTGTTGCAGTTGTTGCTGTCCCACCTGCAGGCGTGTGGTGTTGACCTGAGACGCATCGTGGGCATCAGCACGGACGGGGTGTCTGTGATGATGGGAGCACGGTCGGGCTTGGTTGCAAGGCTTCGGCTTCGCATACCGCACCTCGTCCCTTGTCATTGTATTGCACACCGGTAAGTTAAGATCCAGCTCCTATGATTTGATTGATTTGTTTGGTGTTTGTTCCTGCTCCTTTGAGTTGACTGATTTGTGTGGTGATTATCCTACTACTCTCTTGTTCTAATACACTGTCACTGTGTGTTTGCCGCAGGGAAGCCCTTGCCGCCAAGGATGCTGCCGAGAGCTTGCCTGTCTTCAACATGATCGACAACACGGTCCGTGCCATCGCCGAGCATCTGGGCCATTCGGGTCCATGGTATCAGCGCTTCAAGGACCTCCAAGAGGTTTTTACCGAGAATTTTCTGGAGCTGCAAGAAATCCACAGTGTACGGTGGCTATCACGTGGTGATGCCATCGCCAGGTTTGTGGCGGTCCTGCCGGCAGTCATCACGATGCTGAAGGAGTGGAATGACAAGCTGTACAAGGTGGTGACGTCGTTCCGGTTCCACTTTCTTCTGTTCTTCCTTGCCGACGTGCTTGACCAGATGAACGTCTTGAATAGGACGTTCCAGCGACGAGAGGTGCGTCCACGAAGGCTAGACTTGCATGGCCATTGTCTATGCGTTCTGTCTGTATTTCAACTGGTGTTTCGTATAAAGTCTGGCGCCTAATTTCCTCCACCTTGCTTCCATTCCATCCCCCACAGCTCGATCTCTCAGCTGTGCACACGCAGATCCGCCGTACAACTGGACATCGGGAGGCCCGTTACGTCGACTGCGGGGACGAGTTTGGCGGAGGGCTCAGTCCAAGGCTCTCACCATGGCTTGAGAAGCACGGCCCCGAAGACAAGCGGGAAGTCTGCATCGAGGGCAGCGACTCGGACGGGCAGGCATGCACCTTCACGTTCATACTGCATGAGGAAAAACTTGACGACTACCCTGGACCTGGGCACCAAGACGCATGCATCGACATCTGCACTGAGTTCGCTGAGCTCATCGTGTCCAACCTCCTGGATTGGTTAGGCGACCTCGACAAGCTCTCGAGCGTAAGCTTGTTCACCCCCGACAATTGGCCGCACGGCAGGCACGAGCGCCAAGCGAAGTGTCAGGAGCATCTTGCTGCGCTGATCACTCTCTTCCGGGCGGAAGAGTGCGAAGAGATCATACCTGGTGAGCCCGATGCCTTATGTGTGCATGCCGTGCCTCTCCATCCTTGTGTCATGTCGGATTTCTTATTAACCACTATGTTTCCATATCCATGCTTGTTTCTGTAACTGCAGGTGTCGACAAGAAAAAAGCAGTCAAGGAAGTGCGATTGCTAATCCCCGCCCTTTCACGTACACCGAAGGGTGAGCGAGGTTTCCACACTGGTCTTACCGCCATGCTCAAGACCGATGACTGGCAGCAGCACTACCCGAACCTGGTGCGGCTGTGGGTGGCGGTGGCGTCCTGCCGTTGAGCACATTCGAATGCGAGCGTGGCTTCTCGCGACAGAACGTCATTAAGTCCTGGCAGCGCGGCAGCCTCAAAGATGCTCGGCTTAGTGACTTAATGTGCATGCCCCTGCTCCGTTACAAGCCCAACTGGGACGAAATAGTCGAGATCTAGCGTAACTACAAGAAGCGGAAGCCGCTCAACACCTGCAACATCTCCAAGCAGGAGGTAGATAGGAGGCGTCGGGGGAAGGAGGAGGCAGAGGCAGGAGACCAGGCCAACCCTGTAGACCTAGATGAAGAGGAGGATTAGGTGCAGCTGACGGTGGTGATGATGAGGATGCGATGTGGTATTAGTTAGTAGTGGTTGTATGCGATTGTTAATGGTGTTCGCTTGCTGAACTATAATGAATCAATCAGCGTGACATTTGTTATAAACTCTGATGAGAAAGTTTTTTCCCAGAGACAAAGCTGATTTATCAGGGTGTTTTCACACAACAACCCTGACAGAAAGTTTTTTTTTTTTGGTACTAACACTGATCGGAGAGTGTTGACAAAAACCAATCTGAGGCCCTGATGGCTTGTATGTTTTTCCTATAGTTTTCCAAAACCAAACCCGCAAAATATTCATTGAGGGGAAACAGTCACGAAAGCACACCCAATTCTAATCATCATCCTACCCAGCAACCCATTCCTCAACCTCCTCCCCGTCATATCGCCCTTCCTTCCACCAGTCGTCATCATCGTCCCATCCCTGTCCACCTCCCACCTCCTCCTCTGCCTCACCCTCGTCCTCCTCTTCGCTCTCGTCCTCATCGTCCGATGACTCCTCACTCTCCTCCTTGTCCTCCTCGTAGTCATCCTCCTCGGAGTCCTCCTCCGTCGCCCCCCCCTCTCCAGCTTCCGCCACCAGGGCAACATCAGCAGCGGCAACAGGGTCAGGGTAGAAGGGGTTGGGGATGAGCTCGTCCAGCTCCTCCTCGCACACATCCTCCAGCACCTCCACCTCCAACGCGTTCCGCAGGTGAGCGTGGATCAGATGATCCTCGCTCTCGTCAATGGCGGTGGCGATGCCGCACGGACGCTTTCTTCACCAACTCCTCTGGGACGTCGGCCCAGGACTCGGCAATCCAGCGGAGCACCTTCTCTGCTGGTGGTTTTTCTAAATTCCCTATTGGTTCAGGCACGGGTGGGGGCAATAGTCAGTCAAGTGAGGAAGAATTCAAATAATACAATGAGTGCACACCATGTTCAAGCCATAAACTCACCTGCCGGGTTGCTGAACCATGTTCACCGAAACGTTTAACGGTTACAGCAGTGAGGTGCAACCTCCCGGGATCACTGCGCGCGTGAGTTTGAAGAGCTTCATTGTTTGGCCATGGTATGAGTCGAGGACGGAGAGTGCATCCTTGCGCCGTCTTTCCCCATCGCGCAGCGACTTCAAGAATGGCACGAAAACTTGCGTTGTCCAATCCTAAACAAGGTTCTCGTCCATCCAACCCTTCTCTTGGGCTCGGATGCTAACACCTGCACGTAAGCAACATAAACATTAGTAGTGGTTTTTCTTTAACAAACAACGAACGAAACAACCATCCAAGCGTCTCACTTCGAGGCACAGGGATCTTCGGCAGTGTCTTCCGTTCGAAGACGACGTATGGAGGGAGCTTCAAGCCGCCCGCCGTCACCGCCAGCATGACGGTGAGGCGCTCCTTCTTGTAGCCCGCGGTGCGCACGTGCATGGTCCGTGCTGTCAAAACATACGCGTTTATCTTTGTTTAGGCTGTAGTGGGATAAGCCTTACGGGGTACAAGAATTCTCCCGACATTCTACTTGTACCCCCTCCCCTTTGACCTAATGCATGGTTCTTACCTCCAACATGGTTTCGAAATAGGTTTTGAATAGGACCTTTTTTTTTTTAGGGCCCACCTAAATCGTTTCCCTCTGCCTGGCGGTGGGTTTTCCCCTGCCTGGCCATTCGTTTCTACCCTGCCCAGCACGCCATCGCGCTGCTGCCCTGCCCTTCCCTGCCACGCGTAGCCCGTACAGCCCGCGCGCCGCCCGCGCGCAGCCCGTACAGCCCGCGCACAGCCCGCGCGCAACCCTTACAGCCCGCGCGCCGCCCGCACGTAGCCGTACAGCCCACGCAAGGCCCGCGCGCAGACCGTACAACCCGCTCCAAGCCCACGCGGTGCCTGTACAGCCCGCGCCAGGCCAACGCACAGCCCTGCGCCGCCCGCGAGCGCCTGCCCTGCGCTCCGCCGGCGTCCCGCGAGCTGCCCGCGCACTGCTTACTGCGCGCCCTGTCGAGCTGCAGCTGCTGCCTGCTGCTACCGCCACTGCTGCTGGCCACCGCCGCTGCTGCTGTTGGCCGCTGCCACTACTGCTCTGCCTACACGCGCTGCTCAGCGCTGCCCTGCCCTGCCTGGCCGCCGCCAGCACTACCCTGCCAATTCGCAGCTACTGCCTGCTGCTGCCGCCACTGCTGCTGGCCACTGCCGCTGCTGCTACTGGCCGTTGCCACTGCTGCCCTGCCTCCACACGCAGCTCTGCCCTGCCTAGCCGCCGCCAACGCTGCCCTATCAATTCGCAGCTGCTGCCTGCTGCTGCCGCCACTGCTGCTAACCACTGCCGCTGCTGCTACTGGCCGCTGCCACTGCTGCCCTGCCTGCACGCGCTGCTCAGCGCTGCCCTGCCCTGCCTGGCCGTAGCCAGCGCTACCCTGCCGATCCACAGCTGCTGCCTACTGTTGCCGCCACTGCTGCTCGCCACTGCCGGCGCCGCTACTAGCCACTGCCACTGCTGCCCTGCCTTCACGCGCTGCTTAGCGCTTCCCTGCCCAGCCCAGCCGCCGCTAGAGCTGCCCTGCCAATCCGCAGCTGCTGCCGCCACTGCTGTTGGCCACTGACGCTGCTGCTACTGGCCGGTGCCACTGCTGCCCTGTCTGCTCGTGCCGCCAAACAGAGCCACCCAATCGAGCAGCCAGATTGAGCTGCCCCTTCCTGCTGCTAATGCCAACTGCCGCTGCCGCCCTTGCTACCGCCTGCACGCGCTCCTACAGTTGCTACCGCTACTGCGCCTCCCACTGCTGCCACTACACCTAACGTTCCAGCTATCGCCACTGCAGTCGCTACTCCAGCCATTGAGCCGCTACTGCTGACTGACACTGCCTACCATGGCCACTTTCACTGTCCTGTGTCAGCGGCAGCCAAGTGTGCCGGAGTCTCTCTCGCCACAGCAGCTTCGCGAATGGGCCATCTAGTAAGGCAGCCCTGGTGGAGGAGCTAGCTGTGCTCGCCGGGGAAAGCCGCTTTCGCCACAGCAGCGTCGTGAGTGGGCGGTTGGGTGGAGCAACCCCGGTGACGGAGCCTTGGGTGCTACTACTGGAGGTACCTGTGAGTCTACTTCTACTAGTGCTGCTGGTAGATGTGGAGGTACAGGGAATGCACAGCAGCAGCAGCAGCAGCAGCGTCCGTCGGAGACTCTCTCCCCGCAGCAACTTCGTGAGTGGGTTGTCCAGTGGGGCAGCCCCGGTGGCGGAGGGTTTCGGGGTACTTGTACTAGGGGTGTAGAGGCACCAGGTGGCGTAGAGGTTGCTACTCTTGGTGTTCGTGACTCAACTAGCACAGGTGCAGAGCCAGAGGAGGCCTTGCACTCTTTCACTCTAAACGCAGGCATGTCTCGCTGCTTCTTTCGGGACAGCACCACGATCACACCGCTCGCATTCCTGGTTCCTGTCACTCTGGCTGACCCCACTGGTGGATCCGTCGTTGCACGGGACTCCACTGTTCTCCCATGTCCGGCAGTCCCCTCAGGTACTCTCATAGGTCTCCACCTTCCCTCCTTCGCTAAGAACTTGGTGGTTACCTCTGCCCTCCAGGACCAGTGGGTCACTGCCACCCAGCCTGGAGGAGCGTTTGTAGCAATACGTATGGACTCCCGCACTAGTGAGCACCTCGCCACGTTCACTCGGAGGCCCGGGTCGGGTCTGTACACACTGACTACTGAGTCCGCATTGTTCGCTGAGTCAGGTCAAGTAGCTACGTCGGTTGAGGTCGCTGCGTCTTGTTCGTGTCGTCTTCTCATGCAACAGACTCTCCTCTGGCACCATCGTCTTGGTCACCCCTCCCTGCCACGCCTGCATGACATGCACTCTCGTCTTCTTGTCTCTGGGCTTCCCAGGTCCTGGCCCCCACTCCTGAGGTCGCTTGCGTCGCCGTGCCTTCCCTGCGTTGAGGGGCGGCGGTGCGCGCTCCTCACTCCTCGTTTCCTCCTACCACAGCTCCTCTGCAGACCCTCCACATGGACGTGTGGGGTTCAGCCTAAGTCCCTGGACAGGGTGGAGAGCACTACTTATTGCTGGCTGTAGACGCCTTCATGCGCTACACTATGGTCTTCCCCTTGTAGAGCAAGGCGGAGGTCCACAGTGTCCTAATCCGCTGGATCAGGGCTGTCCGTCGCCAGCTCAGTGCTCGGTTTCAGCACGACCTCCCGGTCCTGCGACTGCACTCTGACCGAGGTGCTGAGGGCATCCGCCAGACGTTCACACTTCCGGCCTCTCCACAGCAGAATGGGATTTTCGAGTGCCCCATTGGCTTGGTGATGGAGGTTGCTCACACCTCCATCGTCCATGCGGTTGCTCCCTATTTTCTGTGGTCGTTTGCAGTCTGATACGCTGCTGAGCAACTAAACCTCTGGCCCCGTGTTTCCCACTCTGCGGTGGTCAGGCGAGGTTGGTCATGCGTCGGCGTTTTGGGTCTGGGGTGCCCTTTCGCTTGTTCGCGACCCCCCCGCGGGGAAGCTCTCTCCCCGCACTGCTCTCTGCGTCTTCGTTGGCTTCCCTACCGACGCCCTTGGCTGGCAGTTTTACCACCCGGGTTCTCGTCGTGTTCTTTCCTCCAAAGACGTCACCTTCGACGAGTTTGTCTACTTCTACCATCTCCACCCCCACCGCAGATCACCCGTGCCCTCCCGCCTCTCCCCCCGCAGGGTCCTGCTCCCTCAAGTGTGTCTCAGGTTGACCCGTCCCCCTTGGTTGAGCCAGTCGAGGTCTGCTCTTACACCTCTGGCCCAGCTGAAGGAGGCCTACTACCACCATGACCCCTCACCGTTCCGCGCGCTTGGCGGTCCGTCCTGGGTTTCCGCCTTGTCATGCTTTTAATTGTAGAATAGAAGATAGGAAGGAACAATATAAAAGCAAGACAAAGTACAGTAGCGTGTAGTGTTATGTCGAGGCAGGCGGGAATCTACAAAGCCGAGGGTGGGGAATCGAGTTGAACTAGCGAAAGCTCACGACCGTAGCGTAGCAACGGTAACCAGATGTAGATACCTAGGCAAGCATCAGAGATAGGATTACTCGCTTGCTTGTTTGTTTCCACTCTAAGCAAAGACTTGTTCCTAGCAAACCCTAGAGTTGCGCCAGTGGAGGAGCCAACCATAGCAAGCCTACAAAGTGTGCAGAGACAACATATCAGCCAGTCTGCCGAGTTAGGTTTCCTAGCCGTGGTTTCTTGGCTAGGATCTGTCAACAAACAAGCAAGAATAGCGACCGTAGTCGCCTAAAGCTAGTATGAACGATAGATGTAAACTAAGGTCCGGACAGAAATATCGTAGAGAAGATATTTTAGCAGAGCCGAGCTGGCGCGCAGCCGCTACGACCGCCTCTGACCGAGGGGTAGCGACGGAAGCGGTGTGCTCGCCTGCCCCAGCGACCGTAGCGTATCGCACCCCGCACCAACGGGAACGCGAACGGTGCAGAAAGATGGACCCACCCCGCAACGTAGCGTCAGATCCAGGAGAGACGCCACACGATCTGCGATGGGCCCAGCAAGCGAGGGCTCGTTGGGAAGGACGACCGACAGCTTCCCCTGGGGCGATGCCAGGAATGGAATCAGACCGAGTGCACGTGCCTACGGCTTGGCTGCGCCACCGGACGGAAGACGACCTTCGGACACCGATTAACCGGGAAATCGTGGAAAGTCAGGCCGCGGAGTTACCGCCAGCCGTCACCCCACAGGACCGGCTGCGTGCGAAGAGATGGCTGAGTGGGGCTCTCCCGAAGCTAGAGGTGGCCGAGCGCTTCATCGGGATCCCAGGCGTGGGCCCCACCCTGAAAAACTATCTGATGCAGTTGGAGACGGTGCAGTACTGTTGGGAGCGAGATGGGCTGGACCCGGCTGAGTTCTTCCGTCAGATGGTGGTAACTTTGGCGGGCGAAGCAGAGACGTTCTTTCAGATGACACGGAACGAAGTGCTAGAGGAGCTGATGCGGAGAAATCGAAAATCCCACGG